TTTCGGTTTTTAAAAAATTTATGGATATATATTTATTAAATATATATATATATATATATTTAATATATATTTATTTGCGTTATTTATATATATTAAACATATATATTTAAATAATAGATAATTAAAAAATGTATAAATATTATCAATTTAATTAATTAATTTCATATATATTATTATATATATGATTAATGAAAAAATATTAATAATATATTATTAAGAAACTAATATATTAATATTAAACTATATTAATATGTATACTAATTATTAGTTAAAATTTTTTATTTAGGCTGATGAGTATGTTGTCGAGTTCGAGGGTTTTGGACCCCGACACACATCCTCTCGAAATGGGAATGCTTCCGTTCGGCGGGAGAGGGAACGGATGCGCCTTCATGCTCGCAGGGTACAGACTGTCCAAGCTGGTAGTTCGAGACATCATGTTGCTCCGATACAGAGTGGTCAGCAGTATGGCCTAGTCATGCCTCAGTCTAGCCCAGTCATGCCTCAGTCTGGCCCAGTCATGCCTCAGTCTGGCCCACTCATGCCTCAGTCTGGCCCATTCATGTCTGGCAGTTGGAGTGGTCAGCAGTCCTTGTCAGTGAGGCCTAGCAGTTCTAGACGTCTCCCGACTATACGTATTGTTCGTCGGCGGGACTCCATTGAGTCGACAGTTAGGAGTCCGAGGCATGATGATGATGATGATGATGATGATGATGACGACGACGAGCAGACCTATGATGATGACGAGCAGGCCTATGATGATGACGAGCAGGCTTATGATGATTACTTTGATGCAGCTGAGCAGCCACAGACTCAGCCACAGGCACGTCCAGCTAAACGACTCGGCCGAGTTGATCCTCCACGACAGGCTGGGGGCCGTTATACGAGCGCTGCCTCATCTTCAGATAAATGATTTACGTATTTATTGTTGTTTACCATTAGATATTATTTTATTTAATAACAGCGCATCATTGATACAATCAATCACAGTATGTCGTATATATATTGATTGTTCTATTATAATAAAGGGCGAGTAGCAAACGCACTAAGTGTGACGACTGGCTTGTTAAAGCCCCAGTACCCGGTGGCCCCTTTGACGGGAGTGTTATCCCTAGTTTTCTAGGGCACGTAGCCTCCCGGATTTGGATAGGACATGTTAGAGGCACGTTGAAGTGCCAAAACAGGATGTCAGCGAATGGTGTTTTGAGGGAGTGGCTCGTACGGATGGCTGAGGCTCCGCTAGATCTGATCCCTCCGACCGGGCTGTCACATTTGGCGTCCAGCATGCATGACCACATCGACACTCCACTTATTTCAGCATTTGTGGAGCGGCTGGCAGCCGGATACCAACTCGTTTCACCTGCTTTTTGGTGAAATGAGTATCATGTTGCACGACGTGAGGGCGATATTGGGGGTTCCTGTCGTCGGTGTGGTAGTCACAGGGGACCCCGACACCTTGACACAGCAAGCGCACTGCATGGAGCTCCTGGGGGTGGACCAGGCAACGCTGATAGCGAAGTTCTGGGGTCACGGCTCGGTGACGAATGAAGCCGTTTTTACTGCGTTGGAGAAGAATGGCGCAGGTCGGTCGGCTGAGCATGTGGCGATTGGTTGGCTGTGGGTGCTGCTTCCTACCACCTTGTTTACAGACAAGAGTGGTAACAGGGTCAGTCCCAAAATCCTGCACGAGATGATGGAGGACCTGCAGAGTGTTGGGACTTACTCGTGGGGCTCGGTCGCACTGGCATACCTATTCAGACATTTAGGTATAGCCAGCAGGGGGGAGTCGGGGGGAGTGGCGGGCTGCTTGACTCTCATGCAGTCCTGGATATACAAGTACTTCCCCACCTTCCGACCCGCCGGTTCGCGTATGGCCTCCGAGCCTGACAGCTTGGCCCGATCAGCCTTGTGGAGGACCCCCGTCCCAGATAACTCAGATAAGCGCCTCAAGCATTTTCGTAGGCAACTTGACAGACTCACAGCCGCCGAGGTACGTTAAGTTATTTTATTACATTTACTTGAAAGTTATTTAGAATACTCGAATT